CTTCTCTTCCCGCTGTCCTACCTTTCGTGTCTCCCTTCTCTCAAGTGCTATATTAGTAGGAACACGGGCATCGCCGCTACTAGTAGCTAGAAGCCACTAGTAAGATTCTAATCTCTTCCCCCAGGCGCGTTGGCACAGCTTGCTTTGTGCACGTGTTCTTGCTTTCAGCTGTGAGCCACCAAGCCAAAGGGCAAAAGGAGCCCTTTCAGCAGGTGTTCTTTCAGCACGTCTTCATATCGCTTGCCAGCAGCTATGCCCGACTTACATTGGACATGTGACACCCTTCCTTTGGTCGCAGATTCTTTCAGCTCAATCAGCAACGCCCACAAATTCAACTCTGACAAGCAAGACCTGGTGCTGATAGTCTAGTAGTGGTGTTTGTACCTTGCCAAGTGATCGCTTATGGTTACAGGTCACAGTTTGATTCGCTCCAAACTGCTCGTAGCACTTGAGTCCATTGGGGGAGGAGCCAGGATGCATTCCAAACAAATAATTGCTAATGGGATAATCGGATAGTGCTATGCCATGCTGTGGCAAGCGGTAAGGATCGGCAATCGCAGGGGTTGCGTAAACTGATCTCCTCGTCGCCTTTGGCTTGCAGCCCATGCTGAAGACCTTTTGTTTGCAGCGTGAATCTGCCACAGTGGAGCAAGAACCCTCTGGTGCAACGGAGTTTACACTAGTCCATTTGCAAAAGCTGCTCTTTATACAAGACACTGGCCTATTAAGTTGCGGGCCGCAACTTCGACAATCCAACCTCAAGCCCTTATCGCCGACACATCATGGCGCCAGAGAAAGCAAACCATCAGCCGCATATTGGCACGTGCTGGCCCAAACCTTGCCAGTGAGGGGGTGCTGCCAAGAACTTCAGCGCTAAATTCCTAAACGTTTGTTCCCAAAGAGTGTGTTTGTTCTGCGAGGCCGATAGTGGGTCTGTGCGATTCGGTGGGACACTGGCGTGGCAGGGCTTTCCCCGCCCCACGCTCCACCAGTCTGACTTGGTTTGTGAGGTGTAGAGGAAGGTGATCTTTGAAGGTCAAACTGTTTGAAGGCGAGCTGTGTGGAGAGGTAACGACAGGTAGTGGCCGGTTGGTCCCAAGGTCTTGTTTTGACTTCAGTGATTGGCGATGTACCATGCAGCTGCTCGCGATATGGTTTTGCCACGAACTGCCTGACTCTAACTGGCCTGGTGGTGTCCTACAAAATGCGACGAATCGCACCTCGCCGACCTCGCCCGACCCTCACCCAGACTCAAAATGAGAGGAACAGCAATTTAGAGACCTGATGAAACCCAGTGTGAGGGCAGCAGTTTAAGGGCCTGTCAGGAAAGCTGCCAGCGTGTGTTTGACACACCACAATAACACCGCTTTGGTGTCATTGCACCGCGACAGCTTGCTTGCATAGTTTACAATGTTTGAGAACAGATAGAGTCCTTTTCAAGATTGTGTAACAAAAGTGCTCCCAAGTCCGCCACTGACAAGTCTCAAGCCAATGCGATACGAAAGTGCCTAGCGCAGAATGTTTTGCAAAAGTTCCCAGAGTGTGTTTCAACATGTGCTTTAATAATTTGCTTAAATATGTTTTGCCACCCACCCACCCACCCACCCACCCACTGACTTAGACTTACTGTAAGCCTGGTAGGCGCAACGCGTTGTGAACCGGCTGTGACCCGTTGTCGCGGACATCCATGGAGCATGTAGGTGTCAGTGCGAGTGGGAATGCTCAAAAGGATCCAAAAGGTGGAAACCCACCTTCCACCGGCTCCACAAAAGTCTGGATGAGTCAGCGCGCGCAGTGACGTGATTGCGGGTGATGAGTCAGCAATCCGATTGCTGCGCTTCGGACCTAGCGGCTAGCGGTGTGTGCCAATCGTGCGGTGTGTGGGGTGAACGAAGTGTTCCATGCGAGTGGTCGGGCTATAGGTGTTCAATGGTGCAACCAATGCCGGCACCGTAGGAAAATATTCACTGACTTGAGAGTCCATACAACTTATTGGCCATGTCCCCCGCCCAACAGCATCGTGTTTTCCCACTAGCGGAAAAGACGCGCCATCATTTCCTACTTGCACGACCAGTCGCAGCACGGCACCTTACATCGCTGCACCTCCCAAGTTTGGGACATCATGCTCCTTGCTCTCCCAGCCAGGCCAGCTTTCGGTTTCCCAGCCTTGGACACTCCACCACCTTGGCACAACACCAGCCGAAGTCATGCTTCACCCGAACAATCATGACTTAGTTTGATTTCTTTTCGTTCAGTCCCTCGAGACCGCCTGTTCGATGCAGTCCGCAGCCCTGTCATCAATTGAAACCGCACTCCACCATCACCAGCGATCTCCGAGCCACAAGCAGCCCCATTCAATATCATTCAATATCCCCACACCGCCCGCTAAAAAACAGCGTTAGCGTACGTTGGCCGCGTGCTAGCACTGTGCTAGATCCGCGCTACATTGTCCGATTCCAGCATGGATGGAAATCTTCCGTACTTGCATGAATAAATGGATTCGCCAAAAAAGCGAGCATTGCTTCAAAAAACTCAGAGTTCAGGCACCAGTGGCGCAACTTCCTTATTGATCTTCCTCGGAGAGCAGCTGAAAACGGTGCAGCGCTAGTATGCGCTAGTGGCATCTCAATGCTTGTTTGGTCCATGTTCCTTCGTTGACCAGTTGTGTGAACAGTTTGTGCAAAAAGTAAGGTTTATGTTCCCATTATGTGAGCACGACTGTGAACACGACATTCAGCCAATTTCTAAACATTTCGACCAGATCGACGCGCACGTCAGCTTTCTCCAACACATTCATGCGTCATTGCTCTACACGGTTCGCACGCCGGGCATTCACACCCTCACCAAGGCATGCCAACGGAGAAGACAAACACGTTTCCTCAAGTTGAGTTGCCCAGGGCCCAAGCGGCTGGCCCGCGGGCATTCAGCTTCCATGGGTTCCTTGGTCACGCTCCGCGGCCACGGGCGCCGTTGGCTGCCCGCGACAGCGCGGGCAGTCAGGAAACGACATTGTCGGAGCCCGTTGCTTTTACCCCCGCCTCCGTCACGCCTGCCTCGTAGGGTGTCGAGACATTACGTCTCGCAGAGGAACCCGTCCAGAAAAGTGAAAGACCCTGCACCGCCAGAAAGTTCGTGGATCGTTTCGGCCAAAAAAAACTAATTGAAGCTAAGTGACAAATTTCTCTGAAAAAATATTAAATACAATTTTGTTGATGGCTACGAACGGCAATGGCATCCGGGTGGCAATATCCACTACAAAATCTAGGGAGTTATGGTATGGCATCAATCGCTTTATGAGATGTCCCTTGGGGATCTTGATGGTTCTTGATATGTGAAGTCATCATTGATTTTTGAACACGTCCGCGAAGGGAACCATGTGATCAGAAACATAGCCAGCTGTGAAGCAGGAGGTTAGGAATGTAGATGCCAGACGTACTGGATGATTTTTGAGCAGGCATGTGATAGCAGCATTCAGCAGCATGTTGAGCGTTTGTTCAATGTCATTGAGGTAAGTTGTGAAGGTCTGTCCTAGTGAAAATTTAGGATTTCAACTTTGGCGGGGTCACTTAAATTATGTTCCTTTGCTGGTGGGCGCCACCAATTTTTAGCTGTATAAAATATGTGGCAGACCCTCTACCCGGCTTTGTCACGGGGATGGTATGACATTTGATATTTTTGGTCGACACCTATGCGGGAGAGACTTTATCAAGGTTCATTGAACAGTCAT